TCTGGGCACGCACACAGGGACAGAAAACCGGGTGCGTGCGGGGCGCGGGGAGCAACGTCCGTGAAGTTGTGTCAGCATATGCGCAAACGAGGTGCGCATTCGTCGCGTGCGTTGTCGGGATTCTTTGTGCCATTCTTCGCATACCAATAAGAGTATATTCTTTGTATTTACTCTTAATTTAACAGTTTTTCAAAATTCGGCCCTTCACCACATCTTCAAACTCCATAATAGGTGAGTAAAAAATAATTTTACAGTGATTTTCATACAGTTAACTCGAGATTTTGGTGATTTTTATTCGGGAATGTCAACAATGCGATCGCAATCCTGCAATATTTTACATAGTTGTCGCGTTTGCTTCGCTTCGACTTCCGGTCGTTCGGGTGTCGGCATTTCGCGATGTAAACATTATCTAGTTTTGGGAGCGGGACATTCGGGAAAGGTGTTAGGACATGAAGTGTGCTCGAGTGTTTTTGTGTTGTTGAATTCGCTCGAGTGTGCCTACTGAGATGGCGCAATTTTCGAAAGACGCGGTATGGTATGGTTCGCCCGCGTTACACTTCAGTCGCGTTGGTGGCTGTATGCGATTTGACGTATTTTGTGCCGTGCGCGGTGATGACACTTGTCAACTTATTTTATGAAATGTCAAACGTTTTACATGCATTGCGCGAGTGAACGATAAACAAATTAACAGTGAAATTGATTTAAATGCAGTGAATTTCTTAACGGTGACATGGACTGTTATTACTCGAAATATTATCCGAGGCGTGAGTACTTCTTAATTCAAAATAAACAAACAAAATTCCTCAAATAACTAATAGAATTCCAAACATTTTACTAAGTTTGGCAGAAGTTTAACTATCGGTAATCTTATCAATAAAGATTAAAGCTGGTTTTAGATCATTCTGTTTTGCTTTTTTAATTAAATTAAAATTATTTTATTATTCTTCGGGAATATTTTAAAATTTTCTATTGTTAATCAATCCAACTACAGCTTTTTTTATTAACGTGGACAATTTAAATAAATATTTTTCATAAAAAAATAATTTTAGTCCACGTTGATGTTACAAAATAGGTTTATCAAAAAATTATATGGGTGTTAAATTGGTATTTTCTAATATTTGGTTGATTTAATTTTTAATTAATTTAAATATTCCCAGAATTCTGAAATGTTTTTAAAAGTAACTTTTTTTTCAACGTTATTAATAAAGTCAAATATTTTTAGAGTCCATCTTTTTATATGTTTTTGTAAATATTAATTTTAAATTAATTTCCTTACTATCATACATATATTTTAATTTAGAACCTTTAAGATGAGGGAAATTTATGACATAGGACAAGTCAACGACTTTTACGACTGTAAAATAAAGTGGATAAGTGTAAGACAAAAAAAAAACACTATAGCAGATATTTAAATCTGATTTTTAACAGTCCCTGCTTTTAGCACTTATTTCATAATTACTGAATTCGTTATTCATAATAATTAGGAAGGATTATGTAAATTACGATAGTTAAAGATTACTGGAAAGCACTTTACGAGTGTGTGTAATTGTCTTTTATTTCTATAAAATCTGCTTTGCTTTATCCTTGACGTATATTTATTTGACGGGCAATAATTTCTGCTTCTCATTTGACGCAAGTTGAAATTTGGATTGTTAGAGCGTTTTATCGTCGGAAAATGTAAAGTTTGTTAAACAATTATTAGGAATTACTAATAACCTTTTAAGCAGTAGTTTGTACAAAAATAGCTTAACCACGTTTAACCAGAAATTTAAATTTTTTTTTTTAGCTTTTTATTAGACAAATGAGTAAGTTTAATTATCATTACTATACGGAGCCGGCGAGTTACCGGATTGCTTTATAACCTCATACAGTGGAAATTAAATTATGTTCTTAACCCTTTAATATTTAATTATATAAAGATGTCTTGTTTGTTAAAAATCGATTAAGAATTAACTACAAAATAAATTTAGTTTTCCCGCCAAATTGACATCTAATACTTTTCAGTTAAAGACAACAATAAATGAAATTATTAAAATAAATCGTGTGGACATTTTTTCATGGATTTACTTAAAATTATCGAATAAGATGCATATGCACGCACTATAATATAAAAAACTCGTCTAGAGTTCAGACTTTGCCATAAGCGCTCATTGCTCTAGAAAGTCTGGAACATTCGACGGCAAAACTGCATGAGTCTACAGGCAAATTATACATAGATTGTCGACCTATGATTTTATATTATTTAAAGAAAAAAAAAATAGTCAAAAGATTGTATACTGATAATTTACGAGTTATAGGTATAAGTGCTGTATTACAGGAAATAAAATTTAACGACAATTTAAATTACGGCCCATAGATGAAAAATTTTTTCATGTAAAAATAAACTACAGATTTTTACTCAGGATTTTAAAAAGATACTAAATAACATTGTTCAAATGTCACCATTATAATGCATGTTCTGCAAAATTAAAGGAAAAATATATATTTCGTTCCTATTGAGTACCGCAGGAGCGAGTCACCGATCTCTCGGAAGACGTGTATCAGAGGAGTCTAGCGACTGCCAAGAGTTATTTTGGTCAATACAAGTTGATGTTTTTATTGCGACGCCGCCGCCGCGACAACGAATAAGACGTGTTAACTAACACTTTGGCCCTAACTCGTGGACTAGTTAGATTTATAGATGTGCCGTGATTTAACCGAATTATATTAAACTAAGCATTATTCTTTTATTCATCAAATTCATTTAAATAGACAATGGGTTATCGCTAATCCGTGCAAATACTAATGAATTTAACCAGAATTTAAAATTAGCACCCTGATCGCCACGTTAGGGGAACGAGACGGCGGCATAGCGCCGCCCATAAAAAAAAACAAAAACAGAATTTAAAAAGGTCATGTGACTTCTAATGTAGTGTAGGTTTCTAAGACCATCATTATCTTTGACAAAACAGAGATAACGATATGTTTTAAACGGGGATATTTTAGTTAAGTTTTATTCTAATTTCATAAATGTATTTTAAAATGAGAAACAGCTTATTTTGCACACTATACCTTAAATTCTACATAGTCAATGTTATTTAAAGTTTAAAAATAACATTTATAACAAATTATACGTATTCCAAATCTTGAGTTCGATTTGCAAATATTAGAAACTGGTACAACCAGTGCTTAGTGATTTTATTCCGTCAAATGAACAGCAATTGTTACAACACGTACTACCATCATTTGCATAACAACCATTCGTTTGTGACCATGTCTTGTGCCTGAAATGTAAATATAAAAGTCCGTTCACATAGACCGGGGCAACAGCTTTATACGATTAAAATGAGGTTTAAAATTACTTTTAACCTCTTTGTACGCTTGGTTTTTGATAAGAAAAGATGTGTAAAGTAAAATTAAACATTATTGCAATCGTAATTTTATTTTTGCCATAAAAAATCTGCTCTGCTCCACGCCCTGGTCTGTCTAAAGATCCTTAATAAGATTATTCCATTGTAAAAAAAGTTAGTGTTTTGAAAATTTTATTTTGATTTACAATCGTCTCATGAAAAGTAATAAAAAACTCTTGAATTTATTTATATTTTGATGTTTTAAGTAATTATAATTTTTCAATCTAATCTGCATTGTCTTAGTAGAATATTAATAATTAGTTCCGACAGAAGAAGCCGTAGGAATGTATTAATTATGTTTTAAGTCTTCAGGATTACACTTTAATTATATAACATTATTTTTAAATGATTATAACACAATATTTTATTTTAATAATAAATTATAAAATTACAGAAAGGCAAACAGCGGTCATAATTTGATTATTAATAATAAAAGTAAAATAATACTGTGGTATAAATTATTTTATAACAGAATATTAAATTCGAGCATTTATTTCTTTTAATCTGTTTTTAATTAATTAACATCTGATACATTAATTATGTTTAATAATATGCTGCGGCCTCGAATGAATAGATCAATTTCCTATACTTTTATTTTAAACTAGCTGTCGCCCGCGACTCCGTCCGCGTGGATATATGAAAAAACTTAATTTAGCCTATGTGTTCTTTCAGACTATGTTCTATATGTATGTAAAATTTAATCGATATCCGTTCAGCCCTTCTAGAGATATCATCAAACACCCATCCATCCATCCATCCATACCACATCCATGTAAACATTGGCATTTATAATATTAGTAAGTTAAATAAAAAGCAGCTCCTCAAAGCATAAATTCGAAAAAAAAAATAAAAAAATGAATAAATAGTATCCTATGTCCGTCTCCTGGCTCTAAGCTACTTCCTCACCAATTTTCAGCCATATCGGTAAAGCCGTTCCTGAGTTATAAATAGTGTTACTAACACGACTTTCTTTTATATATATAGATTAGCTGTCGCCCGTGACTACGTCCGCGGAATTAAAAATAAATTAATTAGTGACCAATGTGATCTTGCAATAGATGTTCTACATCTATGCCAAATTTAAGCGAGATCCATGCAGCCGTACTGGAGATACTTATAAACATCCATCCATCTAAACAATCGCATTTATGTATAATCTTAGTAAGAAGTAAGTTTTTTTATGAACGTATAGACAATAAGGTAAAATTACGCGACTAATTTAAGATAGGAAAATAATAATTTACAGTATTAACTATTACTTAACACGTGTGTTAACTAGCGTGTTTTATACACGTTAAGGTTATACCCGGGCCACCACGGCCGCGGCTACCTGCTCCCAACCTGTGTTCTTTCAATACTATTAATCCCCAAACAAACTCTCCGACCACGAATCAAAACTTCCACAATGGACTACGTCTTTAGGTATTTCCTTACACGATATAATGCTCTTTTGTTAAATGGCATTTATTAAAATAATTTAAATAAATACGATTCTAGTTCAAATTAAATGTACTTAGTAATTACACATGTAATTATTTTTGTTGCACATATTGTGTTCGATTTAAAGTTTTATTAGTACTATGCTGGCCTTTTAACAAAACGTTTTTATGATTGCTTTTTCTTCATGATAAAAATAACTTTTGTTTAATACGATTCCCGTCGGCTTTTGTTAAAGTTTAGATCATTTTCAGTTATAAAACTTGAAAGGTTCATTCAGTTTGGTTATTTTGCGGTCGACAACATAGAATCTTTTCTGGTTTCAAGAAAGCAACTCTAAAAATTACGTTTTTTTAATTCCAACTACCAATATATTTATTTAATAATTTATTAATATATATATAGAGTTTTTTTAATGGTTTAAATAATTTATGTACAGTTTGTCACGGACGAAGCGAGCGTTGAAAAATTTAACCGCGCCGACTGGAGATATCATTGAGACGGCTGTCCAGTAGCCTCGCTCTATTCTCGTACTCCTATTTGTGGACTACTCTCACGGGAAGCCCTCACTATGTGTTCACTAAAATGAATCCTAAAGCTTGAGCTATAAGTGCGAATTTACATTCTTCACTCTCGCCCATATGACCTTTCGCCGTGCGGAGGGGATTTGAGCGAAAGGACCCACTCCTTGCCTCTTATTTATCTTAATTTCGCTCTCCAAAGAAATGACAAATGAGGATTATGGTTGTGCTAAATCGACGCAACTTATGAACGCTGCTTATTAAAGCTTATCCGCGTAAACAATGCGTAAAGTTATTGTGTTACGTTTTGCGTGGGTTGCACCAAAATTAAGTCGTATGAAGATATGTTCTTAATTTAAACATTATGTATGTATGTTTAATATTTAAATGGTTTGTTTATTTAATAAACAATAGTAG